AGCTGGAGGCGCACGTCGAACGTTGTGGCTTCGGCCCGGCTACCCGCCCCCGCAGCGCCTCGGGCGGCGCTTCGGGGTCGGGCGGCAGGGACGTGCTCTCGCGGGGGGGCAGCGAGCCGGCGCCCGAACCCGGACCGAGCGGGGGCGCGCGCGGGGGCCCAGCCGGCAGCCGCTGCGGCAGCGGGCGGGCGCCCGGGACGCGGGTCCTCGCCTGGAGGCGGCGTGAGAAGGCGCTGCTGGCGCAGCTCTGGGCGCTGCAGGGCGAGGCGCAGCGCACCGCCCGCAGGTACCGGGAGAAGTTCGCCCAGTACATGGCTCACGTTCGCAACTTCGTCGGGGACCTGGGCGGCGGCCACGGCCAGGTACGTGCACGGGGAGTGGGCGCCGCGGACGCGGTCAGTCGCGGTGGGAAGAGGACCGGATCAAACGATCCGTTCTGGTTTTTAAAGATTCCTTTGGAAGGGGGCATCCTTTCTCCCATGCCGTAGGAAGCGTCCTTCTGCCCTCATCATACTCTCCTGTCATTCTCTTAGGAATGTTTTAATACTGCAGTTGGCAAGGATGATCCCCTTTCCGCTTATGTTACGATTGGAAAGAGTGAAACAGATCCAATTCTAACTTTTGTCCCGGGCGAAGTGGGGCTTGGGAAAACTGGCTTCCGATCCAGACTCTTGCCACCCCATCTTTCACTCTCCTGCCCACCGTCTCTGCCTGTTTGTTGTGCCTGTGCCCTACGCCTGAAGCAAATCAGAGAAGGAGAGCCCGGCAGCAAGGACCCCTCCCGTCCTGCCTCCCCTCTCCCGCAGCGCCAGCATCCCCGTACCCTGGCAGCCGCACATCTGAGAATGGCTTTAGCTCAGCATGACTTGCTCTGCCAAGCTGCCCCTGTCAAGTACCCTTGATTCAGTCTGGGACTAGGAGGCGTGTGAGGGGTCTCAAGAGTTGAGAGACGGAAAGATGGGATTTCTTAGACATGCAGACTTCTTTTCCTCGCTTTGACTTTCCCTAAATAATCCTACCCTGCCTCGAATTTCGTTATTAGTGGTGAGTGTGTGTGTGTGTGTGTGTGTGTGAGTGTGTGTGTGTGTGAGAGAGAGAGAGAGAGAGAGAGAGAGACTGAGAGAGACTTGGAGAGTCCAATCCGAGGACAGCCACATCCATCTGCAGTCAGACTGGCCCTGCGAGCCCCGGGCAGCGGCTGTTTCCCTTCTTTGTCGAAGCTGCTGGCCCCGAACTGCGCTCCTGGACCGCCCGCTTTCAGAGCGAGTAAACAAGCCTCTTTGCAGCACCCCGCGCGAAGAGGCTTGTTTATAAAGCTGGTACTTCTCTTCTGGAGGACTTCTGCGCAGTGTTTGACATTGTTGGTCGCTGCCATGGTGAGCAGGGATTTAGCAGAATTTGCTCTCCATTCAAGGAGCTGTTTTCATTCTTCCTCACTCCCGGAAAGGAGCGACCCAGAACCATTCCCATTTGGGACTGGCTGCTTTGCCTGGCCTCCAGCTCAGGCACTGAGTTTCCAGGCGCTAGCCCTTGAACCCGAAGTGAAGGGGACTCAAATCTTCCAACGAGGGAAGCACACTGTGTACTAATAAGGGAAGCACACTGTGTACTAATAGGCTGGTTGCAAGGATTCTTTCTTATGTGTGTGTGTGTGTGTGTGTGTGTGTGTGTGTGTGTGTGTGTGTGTGTGTACGCATTTACAAAACAGGAGGACCCAGGGAGAAGCCTAGATACAACTTTGCATTACCAGCCCAGGTTTCAAGGTGTTACCGAATCAGAGGTTGAAGGAAAGGAGCAACAGCTCCGAATTATATGTCGAAGAAGACCATGCAACAAGTCAAGCTGTGTTTCTGAGAAATGAGCCAAAACCTTCTCTGTGCGCCTCAGAAATGTTTCTCCACCACCAGTAGGGGCCACTGTGTGCACTGCCTGGGGAAAGCTCCTGGGAAAAGGTGGTGATGATGCTCGTGGAATTTTATCTTTTGGAAGTAATTGCCAAATACTTAATTTCCTAACATAAGTTAATAATTACTGTAACCATGAATAAAACTCACTGAGTCCAGCTCTATTTCATCTTGTATTTAAATTAGTCTTTGCTAATAAACAGGTTGTAAATATAGTTGTTTAACTATTATTTGGCCATCAAGAAAGAAATGAAATTATTTTTTCATCCTGCAAGAATTATGCAAAACTAAATATTATTTAAAATGAGGACTACTGTAACCTAACAGAGGCTGCATTACGATTGCAATGTGAATACTGAAAGAAATGTATAAGCAGCTCAGTGTTCATTAAATCCTTTAAAACCATCCACAGTGAAAATTTTACATAAAATTTGTTGACAAATTATTTGACTTTTCTGTAACAGGGGAAAAAGAATGCCCCCAGGGTTAAATAAGAAATTCGTTTTAAATTATGGTGAAGTCAGAATTAGATGCTGCATTAAGATAAAAGATAGCTACTCATGTAAAAGTGCAAAGTCATTTTTGACAATAGTTCTGTTTTTTCTCACATGCACAATTGTTCTTTTCAAATGCTTACTTTCAAAAAAATTATAAGAGGAAGTTACCCCTTTGCCAAATTCAGCCATTCTTAATTTTAAGGTTTTCTCCTTTTCATGTGCTAATTTATTTGGAGTACCAAATAAAAGAGCTTACCATAGCACTTATTTTTCTTTTATATTTTTTAACTTAGTAATTTTATCCCTTTTCTTCTAGGATGGAGAGCATAAGCTATTCACTATCATTTTACAAAGAGAAAAAGACACCTTGGGATTCAATATTATAGGAGGTCGACCAAATCAGGTAACACACCTTGTAAATGCATTACTCACTCTTTGCTTATAAAATAATATAGAACTTAGCTTTCAGTTGTGGATTTTGGGTAAAAAAACAAGTGGTTTAGCCTTGAAAAGTATGCTTGTGATTAAATTATCAGGTGTCTTAGTGCAAATATTCTAGTACATGCCGAGATTTTCTTTTTGAGAAAAACAAACAAAAAACAACAGCCAACAAACTTGACTCTCTTTGCTACTTAAAAAAGAGTACATTTTATATTTTAGCTAAATTACATAGTCTAATTGGCAAATTTCTTAAATGAATCTATTTTACAATAATGTGTGATGGCAATTTCTATTTGATAATATTAGGCCACTGTATTGCATGCTGATATTCCTGTTTATTAAGTCAACTTACTCAACTTTTAGACGCTAACATAGACTAGGAAGTTATTAATACATGTTGAATGAATGAATGAACAGTTGAAATATGTGGAAACAAGGCATAATTGTTTTCAATAGGAAATAGTATGTTAAAGAAAGATAGTTGATTTGAAGTATTTTTGGCTCCCCAGTCAGGTTCTTTATTTAATTGAATGAATAAATAACATTCTGTGTATTGATACCAATTGTTTTCAAAATACATGTTATAAATGTACACAATATGCTGTAGTTGCAAGTTTTAAAAATTATACCTTCTACTCCCGTGTCAACTCAATTTTCACTGTAACTAAAAAATGGTATTGACATTTATAAAATTATGTTCTTTAATTTTCCCAATAAACTGCCACAAAATGCTTGCATCCTGCATTGCATATGTTGTCCAAGGAAACTGTCTTAGGATTGTTGGCCATATGCTATGTTTAGGTCAAGATGGCAATGACATATTTCTTCCTTGTGTTTAGTATTTCAAACACCTAGCAACTAATGACTGCTGTGCTTCTCTTTCAAAAACAGTCCCCATTTATTATGAAAATATGTAAGTTTTTTTCATCATATCATGTTTGCTCTCTTTTCCCTAAAGGATATTTTTTATAAATTCTGGTTAAGTATTTGACATTTAGATGACATTGGACTCTTTAAAGAGTCTCTTAAAATTCATGATAAGGAAAGCTAATTAAGGAGAAATAATTGTATTTAACCTGCCATGAAGTAAAATGACATTTAATCACATGGTGTATTATTATAGGGTGTTGAACTTTTTCCTTCAATAAGTTTTGTTTCTTGTGACCAGCTAAAATGTCCTATTTGTACCATATTGGCTCTATGTTTCAGACAACTATTATAAGACACATTGCACCTGGAAATGTATAAAGATTAGGCTTGTATGAGTTCTCTTGCAGTTAAGAATTGATCTTTTGGGATTTTTCACTTGAGTAAGCAACTAGTCTCCCTTGTGAAGAGACAAAGTCAGAGCTATGTTTCAAATCTGTCACATCGTGAAATTAAATTATATTTTTGAAACGATGACTACATATCAAACCAATTATACAGTTGGAACTAGATATACTTTTATTCTTTAACCTTGTCGTTTTTACTTGTTACATCTCTTTAGAAGTGAAATGTTTTATAAATAATACTTAAGAGCCAGTTGATCTCACCTTGTACATGCCCTTTTCCCATAACTTATGTGTATTTAAAAATGCTAAGTAAATAGATAATGTTGTCAGAAACTCTGGGCTCATTCATTAAAACTGCCATCTTGATTAATGACTAGTTGGTGCTAAGTAAGTTTAAATTCTGTGCCAAATTCCCACCTAAGAGAGTTGGATGGTTAAGGAGGATTTACAGTGTTACATTTAGTAAATTATTCTTTATAAAATTTAAACTTTGTTTACATCTTTCTTTCTGCTAATGATTACATTTTTTTATAGAATAATCAGGAAGAAACATCAACTGAAGGAATTTATGTTTCAAAAATTTTAGAAAATGGACCTGCTGACAGAGCAGATAGCCTGGAGATTCATGACAAAATCATTGAGGTAAGACAATAATAAAACATGTATATGATGCATGGAAGAGATATTTTGATATTTTAAATTTCCAAACTTATTGCTTCGTCTTGGTATGGTACTTAGAATATATATTCTAAGTAGGAGTATGGTTATTATCTTTTTTTATTCCTTATATAAAAGATAAAACTGTGTGATGATTCTATATCAACTATTAGATATTGAGATAAAAGAATAAAACCCCCGAAGTCGCCAAACCTGTTGATGGATATCTCTGTTTTAGTAAATTATCTCTCCCCGTGAACTGTGGTGATACTTTTGTGATTATTAAGAGATTAAATTCATAATACTTCAAAAAAGGATGATAAGTCGCTGCTGAAGAACATTTTTGATGAGGGAATATTATTATCCTTTTAACTTGTGTTTAGTATGGTATGTGTAGAGTTTGGAATTATTTATACATTGCCTTTAATATTTCTTAGTGTAATATGATTATCTCATTCATGTCTTTATTTTTTACATGAAATAAAAAGAGGAAACACCTTTTTTTCTCTCTACTGGGAAAAGGTGGTGGGAAGTCTTCATTTGCTCTGGGATATTGTAGCTATATTGTTGTGTTAGAGAGTGACAAAGTAAACAATTATATGTTAGTAAAGCTGTGTGATGATAATGAAATTTTGTATCACTGCGACCAGGCATTTCTATCCTTTTGACATTTTATTAACTGGTTAAGACAGTACTATTTGGTGTTACCAAAATGATTAAGTTCTTTTGTCACTGGGCTAATTTCCAATACATTATTAAAGATATAAATAGAAATTTGGAAGATTTACTTTACTATGTTTTCTTTTAAAAATTCTGTTTATTTTGTATTATATAATTATTGGTGCTCTTTCCGAATGTCTATGTACACTACTTGTATGAAGGTTATTTTTCTTTATTGAACTTTGAATAGAATTTTAGACTTTTATTCATCTTTTGTACATTAAGCAAAGTTGAATTGTGAGTATACTGACCGAAAATAAGAGTAAAGAATATAGAAGAGCCAACTATATTCTGTTTTGGAGAAAAGAGAAAAAAATGCAATGAATTGAAATTAGCTGATTAGACACTTAAGGAAGAGAGAGGAGTTGCCTTTTGCTAAAAAACTGAGTTTTGGCTAGAAGTCTCTTGTATCAAGATTTTCTACTTTCAATTGTCTAGCCAAGAAAGTACAGACCTACTTTCACTGTTGCTATCCAAATTGTCTTGACAATTTGCCTAGTGGAAACATTTACATGCTGTTTCTAAAGTTAGAATTGTTCTATTTCTACTCGTGTTTGTGCAGTATGATTTAAAGGGCAACGTAATTTAAACAAAAGACCTTACTACTGTCTGTCTTATCTCTAAAGCTAAATGAAAAATGGAAGACCTGTATTTGACACTATTAGAAGGGCTGATGGAACCGAATACATATATTCAATTACACACACACACACACACACACACACACACACACACACACACTCATGACAGAAACATGTACTGGCAATTTAAAAATAATTTATTCAAGCTAGGTAACAGTGTGTGATAATACTTTTGTTAAAAACTCATTTCTTTTGTTACTTAAAGAGATAATTTAATAAAATCTATGGTTGACAAATCAAGTGCATCTGGACATCTACCTAGAACTCTTACTAATATATGTCAAATTCATCTTATTTAAACACTAAGATAAAAAGCAAAAAGATCAACCTTGGAAATTCAAATGAAATTTATAACTAGCTGCAATATTATTACTATTCACCTTGATTTGCATATATTAGCAGATAATAACAAGAGTTTGAAGTTGGTTTCAATGATATAAATGTTTCAATGCATCTTTTATACCAAGAATCACTGATTATATATACATATATGCATATTTATGTATATGTTAGAATTCTATAATGAATTATTGTGACCACATTTGCAGTTAAGAAATGAATTAGATATTGTATATATTTCTAGAAATATATACAATAGCATGAAATATTTTAGAAGGAATATTATTAGAAATGAATCTCTCATATTTAGTTGCTTAGTGATGCCATCAGCTTTTTGAGTGAATACATATTTGTGTGACTTTAATTTTTAGGTAAGCAAATAACATGTTTGTTAATGTAAATATATATGTGCTGTTAAAGATCTCTATGTACTCATTACATTTAGAAGCATTTTATGCTTGTCATTATTTCAGTTTATCTGCTGTTATGGTATCAATCAAAGTTAAGCAGTTTATACCTAATGGGAAATTGATAAAAATTCTATTACTTAAGATTGATGTAAAAATGTGCAGAGCCACATTTTTGAAACAGTTTTAAAAGAAAGAGAATACATTTCTTTTCCATTTTGTCCTCAGTTATTATAAATTGAACAAATTTAATAGATTGTTTCTTTCAGATTTTGAACTTCCAGTGGCCATGCTGATTTAAACCTGGTGCAAAATATAATTGTGCTAGCAATGTAAAAAAGTACAAATAGTTTTTGTAGTATGGAACTACGCACATGACTTAACTACCACAATCTGACACTTTATTCATTGCTTTGAAATTAGTAATATGTGACTGAAATTAAAAATAAAAACTATAAGAGAGTTTATTGTTAATTATAGTCAGGATATGCTAAAAAAAAAGCATTTTCATGAATTGTTCTGATAAAATAGCAAAATTTTTATCAGTCATTATTTGAATAAGATTGTAGATACGTTAAAAGTTTTTTATATTGATGGTTTAAAAGATTTTATAAATGCTAATACATATGTTAGTTATAACAGTTTTGCCACAGTATAACATAGCCCAGTAACTCTAAAAAGTATTATTTTTTGTAACATTCTGCATTCTACTAAAGCAGATCAAATTTAAGAATCGTAAAAGAATAAAAAAATCACAGTCACAAGGTAAATCCATGTTAGATTTTTCACATAATAAAAGGCAGCTGATTTTTGGAATCAGTGTTCACAAGCAACCATGTTGAACAATTTCTAGTTATTGTTATAGCCACATTTGTAAGAATATTTATATGTGCTAATTAAAAAAATCAGTTATGATATTCAAATTACATTAGGTGTCAAAATATCACTGGAGACTGAAAAGGCAAAGATAATGTTGAAGGCAATTTGAAACATCACAGAAATTCACATAGATGAGGAATTTACCAGAGTGTAGATCTGAATAAAAGCATGCTATTTTTCACCCTTTCAGCACTCAAAAGAACCACAGAAGATCTTGATCTTATCAGAGACTTGGACACAGTTTGGGAAGAGGGCAATACCATGACAGTGGTTATCACCATGCTAGGATGCCTGAGGGGTATGTGGGAGGGAGTTGAGAACCAACGTTCACTGCTGTTGTCTGCACTATTCCTTGGCTGTTATTTCTGTGATGCTAATAGTAGGCAATGCAACTTGAACCCCAGATTAGGAAGGCTGGATGGTCATTTGTGACTCTTTGTTCACACTTTCTTCTCACATTCCCTGAGCTCCTAGCCAAAGCTGCGTGGCAGCAAAGTGCTGCAGGCACTGTAGTTACCCAACCTTCTCTCAACTCTTCTGGAGACCAGAGAGTGGGGCTGGAGGTTCACAGAGTCCATGAGATGAACTGTTCAAAACACAAAGCAGAGCTTTCTTTAGTGCATATATTAGAATCTCTTCTATTTAGTTAGCTTGAAATTCATAATGAAATGTAGTATAAAAGGCATTTCTGTTGCTTTAGAAATAATTCCCACATTGAATAGTGTGTCAGAGTAGGACTTTTCATAAAGTGCTGAGTTTAGTACTATAAGACAGAACTTTACTAATCAGAAACTTTTGAACTATTGCCAGACTGCTAGCTACCGTTTTTTGGTTCTGTAATGGTATACCTCTGCATTCTCTGCTATCACTCTCCGTACTGCTACAGAAAAAAAAAAATGTTGGTAGTTGTGATGTTTATGAGGCTAAGGCTCTGCATAGTTAAATTATAACTGTTAAAGCAGGACGGTTAAATGCAGAGAAGCTAAACAGTTAGGAATGTTATTTAATCAGATCCACAAGGTGCTACCTCTGTATATACCTGATGGCACACTATATCTCATGAGGCAGCAGTGCTGATTTGTTGATGTATAAGAGGCATGTACAAGTTTATAGGTCACCTGACTGGAATTTCTGTCCTGCTTCTTAAAACTGGTGTGGCCTTGACTAAGCCAACTATGCCTCAGTTTCTACACCATTCATAGTTTCTGTATACACAAAGTATCAGGCTTAGGGCAAAACCTGGGATCCCACTACTGTGAGCCTAATGTATCTCATTTAGTTGATGCTATATCTCTATAGTGCAGATGAAGGGAAAATATTTACTTCTATCTCTTTTTGAGAAAATCCAGATAACTCATACCAACTTTCATTCATTTCTGTTTTTAGAAGCACCTGAGTTTGGATGAATAGATGTAGGTAGTTTTAACTTGCAGATGTTCACATATTCTTATGGACATTGAGAGACAAAAAAAGTTGTGGGGAAAACTTTGTAACTGTGCACTTAGGATTTATCCAGCCATATGACAGATGTTTATTAATTGCTGTGTGTGTATTATCAGGCAGTGTACTCTGTGTTATGGAAATAAAGAGCAGTAAGATCTGCTGTCTGTCCACCACAAGCTGAGCTCATGGTGTAGAGCTGTTTTCTGCCTACTTTATTTGAGGCAAAGCAAACCTATGTGTGAAGCTGTGCCTTCAATTACTAAGAATGCAAATGAACGTTACCATCTTGCCTTAGTGAAACGACACTGTGAGTTTATTCTAGTGCTCCTGTCCTCCTAGAAGTAGTGCAGTTCATACTGAGAAATCATGACAGGATTAGCAACATAGTAAAATCTGAATTTGAAGCAGCATTGTGGTTTCAGGAAAAGGTGCAGGTTTTGAAGTTGAGTCTTGGCCTTAAATTTGTATTGCATTATTGCTTGAGGATTTTTAAATTTTTCTTACTCTTAGTTTCTTGCTTGCAAATATAAGGGTCACAATAACTAGTCCCTCAGAT